CACCTGACAGCGTCAACAACAACAACAACAACAGCAACAACAACAACAACAGCAGCAACAACCAGAACAACTACAACAATCAATTGTTAAGCAGACACAGATACTAGCAGATAGATACACCCACTGCACTAACCTTACAAAGTTGACCATGTAGAACATAACCTCAGGGACATTAACAAGGACTGTAAAAATAGATCAACTGTAGCTAGTAAAACAGATTATTTGCTGTAGACAGTAATCATATAACATATTGTAGTATTTAAGTCACTAGTAGATTGTCATTGAGTAAGTAATGATCGATCTATCGATCTATCTGCTATATAAGCTGAAAATAAATAATGCAATAAGTATGTGTGTATATATAACAAACTGAAGTATATGTATATATGTATGTATGTATATGTATGTACGCCAAGATCTCGTAATATATATTCTTGTATACCATACGCAATACGAGCTTATCATACATTTTCGATAGCTCTTTCCCTTTCTCTTTATCGATAATTATCGATCATTTAACTTCGTTAGCAGTAAATAATAATGATGTTAACTGCTTGCTACTCCCGGCACTTTTCATCACACAATAAAATTTTAACATTTTTTAATGTATGGGATTTTATTACTACTCTTCTCTTCTGACATTGAATTCTCATGCATTATTATGCATATTCATGGGTTAAATATTGTATTTTATAATAAAATATATGATAATCTTTGGCATTTTCAAAATGAATGAACTAATCAAATACGTTACAGAACATTACTTAGCGGGATGCCAATTAAATATTATAATTAGATACGCCTTCCATTTAGCTATTTAAAGGGTGGAAGGCCAAGGTCCAACAAAGCAGTTTACTGAAAACTACAGCCCCGTTATGAAGTGGATACTATTGCTCACATTTTCAATGGTAATCGCTACTGCAATGAGTTTGCCTTACAACCCTCCGCTTTGCTGCGCTTTCGGTTGCCAGTCTAGTCTGTGCTATTTACCTAAAGTATCAAATCATACTTTGTTTTAGAGTCGAATATAAATGTTTTGCAGTTTTGCAGGTGATGCCTACCGACCTATATTTTATGGTGGCGACGACTCGTATAGTCAGTTTCTTTAACTATTCGTTTAGTAAATTACAACAGTATTAACTATATAAAAGGGTAGCAGGCCTAGATCCAAAATCGAAAATTCTGAAGATAACGGTCCCGTAATGAAGCGGATTCTACCAGTCACATGTTTTATAGCAATCGCTGTGGCAATCAGCTGGTCAGATATCCGTTTTCTAATTTCGTTGGCAAGGGATGCGTTGAGCTTGGAGCTAAAATCTTAATGCAGAATACAAGCAAAGAATTATTGTAATATCAGTTCCTCAAAGACTTCCGAAGGTCTCGTAACCGAAGGTGACGTAACTCTTAATTAGATAATGTTGAAGCTATTCTGATTATTCATAGGAATAGGAATTAAGAATATATTAGCTACAGTGAATCATTGATGACAAAACATAGGAATATTTTAAACTATTTGAAAAGCTAAAGCATGTCAAATAGGCCATTTAAGAATATATTAGCTACAGTGAATCATTGATGACAAAACAGCTCAATTAACGACATGATTGCCTATTCATGCAGGGCATCTGTTAGCCTGTACAGCTGATTTCGGGTGAACACATAATTGGCATAATATGTAGACAGAATCTCATGAGCCTATCTGGGAATCCGGTGTTAAGCTGCATTTAGATCCGTTTTGTACTGCCTACGTCATTCAGTGTGAGTCCCACTTTAATTGCTTGACATGCATTACGTGATTTCAGTTCAAATGTGTGCAAATTAAATTGAAACCACTGACAATTTCAGGTAATTGCCAAAGCGATGCAAGAGCCCACTAAGCCCTGTTCAGGATATGTTTGTAAATTAAGGGAGTGACGACAACTGTGACTTTCTGGAGCTGTTTGGAGAATTAAGGCTGGCAATCAATAAGCAGTGCAGCCAAGCGACATGACTCCAAGGACCAAGGCCCAAGGACGATGTCAGCAAAAAGGAAATTGAATTGCATTTGAAATGCATGCAACGCACGGCTCGGCACCTACGTGGCGCTTAAAGGTGCTGCAATATGTGCTCGGGCTTACGGCGGCTTAAGGCGCATTTGCCAGATCCGTTTGCCAAAATATTTTCATGGTGGATTAGCAGCAAGCAATAGACACTGCTAGGGCAAACACTTAAGTATCGCAAATATATCCGAGGTCTTTTTTTGTAAGTGTTAACCAAAAAAATAACAAAGAACTACATTGTGTGCTCTCTCATTCTCCTTCTCATTCCTTCACTTTCACTTTCTCTGTCGCTTTCACGCGGTTGCATTAAGTCTCACCCGAGTCCAAAATATAATCCTATTAAACATTATTACATCACAAAACGTTTATGAGCTGGTGTAAATCGAGCAGCCGCAGGGATAATATCAGCGATGCCAACGTCGGCCGCCCAAGGATCATCGGGGCGAGCTGATTGAAGCCTCAAGTGCCCATTGTAGCCAGCCAAGCAGAGGGCGAAACTTTCAGCAGCGGCTTCGTCAATTTTATGCAAGTGTAGTGCATACAAATTTCATCCGTTTTTCGCTTGCTTTTATAACTTGCGGTTAAGAGAGAGAGAGAGAGAGAGAGAGAGAGAGAGAGAGAGAGAGAGAGAGAGAGAGAGAGAGAGAGAGTGAGTGAGAGGGGGAGAGGGAGAGAGGGAGAGAGGGAGAGAGGGAGGCTAGCCACACTGAACTTGGTCGCCTCATCGTGACACGAGTGTCACGCATACATAATCATTTTTATAAATGGCCAATGCTGTACAATGTTGTGAAATGTGCAACAGTAAATTTGTGTAAATGTGTGTGTGTGTGTACGTTAATGTACGTACTAGATTATAACCAAAACTAAAGTGGAAAGGCTTATATACTTACTTAAATTTTTGCAGACATTATATTATACAACATTTTAATATGAATACAAAAATACTGTTAATTGGCAATTTTGTATTATTTTGTATTTATTTTCAAAATATAAAATAAATTTTAATAGATTTTTCACTTTATTAACTTATTTATATATTATGATATACATATATACTGGATTTTCTGAGAACTGCGAGAAATATTTTGAGGATTTTTATTGAAAAAAAAAAAAAAAAAATAAAAAAAAAATAAATTAAATAAAAAATGTAATAGTATACCAAACTTATAATTGTTTATTTAATTTATATGATAAATAGAAAATCCGTAAAGATCATATTTAGTCAGAATTAAAATTGAGCTTTTTCCATGTATCAGTTTAGAAATATGAAACTTATCTTACGCCTGATTACTAGACCTGAAAATAAATACATAGTAAATATATTATCATATAAAGGATAAATGCAACAAAGCTATAAACACATAATATATGCAAGAGCAAATGTGAGTATAATACAATAAAGCATATTCTATTTAATTCTTTGTTAATATTAGTTTGCTTTCTCGATTAGAAAATGGCCTTAACGGCCATCTCTAGGCGGATGGGTTTGGAGCACGGCCTCAGCAGTATTTGCCACCGCATGATGCAAATGTTGGTGCATATTAAAAACGCTGCAAGCGCACTTTGTGGCAGCCATAAGACGAGGTTGATGCGATAATCGCTAGCTATTCTATGTAAATTGGGTCTTGTTTGTTGGCTTTGTGTGAGACAACAAAGGGTGGGGGCGTGGCATTGGCCTAATGCTGAACCAATGAGGTTGTTACAACTTTAAGAAAATATTTGGCCAGGGCCATATTAAATCAGAGCTGAACTCCAGCCAGGCCAAATTATGCACATGATTGCGTTAATCAAGTTAAATTGGATGCTGCTGTCAGCAGGGGAGCAGCTGGAGCAGCTGAAGCATTTCATTTGTGATTTGTGTTGGTTATCTATCTCTACATCGACTTTTTCGTGAGCTAATTGAAGTGTGAATGAGAAGCAGAGCTGCTCTCTAGATACCCTACATAAAAAGGCTGTAAATATGAGCACTTCAAGTATACATATATTAGATATTTAGATTTAAAACAAATATATTTTACAGGCTCAACACAAATTGACAGCTGGAGAATTTGAAAATATCTGATTTATATTACAGCAGCAAGCCACGCGAGCACGCCAATTGTGCAGCCATTGATTGACTAGCCAAGTGGCATGCGGCTCCATAAGTACTCATTAAATTGTTAATGTGGTTGGCTTTTCGGCTTTTTGGCTTTCATGCCCCCTTCATGCTGGCATGAAACCAGACGGTCGACAGGCCGCCCAACTCAGCCTGCAAATTTAAATTGAAAATGCAATAAAGCAATTGTAAATAAAAAATGAAATCGAATCGTGCAGAGCGTATGTCATAGATGATGATGTGTGTAAGCATCTGAGCATGTTGAATGCGGTGATGCGGGGCTCGACTTGAAGCCAGAAGGCAATTGAATTATGAGTGAAGCTGCTTGTTTTGGCAGTTAGGATATTTGACGCAGCTTCCGGTAACCGAGCGGAAACAGAAGACTTACAGGCAACCTGCTAACAGGTTACTCTTGTTGGAGCCTAATGAAGTTAACATAGCTGCTTCGTGTGTCCTATTGTAGAAGTAAAATGTGGGGCAATCTGTGATTCCTGCCGTCGGGATTACTGCAGTATGGCGTTTGATCATACCCTATAATTCAAAAGTACATTAACTAATAAAGACTCTAATAATGACTATCAATGATATGTGATATGAATAACAATGAAGTGAATAACATTCTACATTTTTATTTATTCTAAAATCAAAAATTGTTAATCAATAATTTATATAACTATAATAATCACTTCAATTAAATTTAATAATTTAACTTACCTACCAACGTTGAAAATAATAATAAATATACATCCTCGGTATGGTTATCTACAAAAAGAAAAATACACGTTACAATTTAAAATCCACATATCGATATACTTTATCGATGAACTAGTTCCGAATATCGAACTAATCGTAGTGTATGGCATTATTCTGCACAGCATTGGTTCAGTAGGAAAAAATGGACGCGGAAAAAAAGTTGTATGTGTAAAATCCCTATTATTGCTAAATATCGATTTAAAATTAAACGAAAATGAGTGGGAATCACCCAAAAAACAGTGGCGGAGGTAAGTACTACAACTGCATATCAGAGCAACGATTTTTTGACTAATTTACACTGATACATGCAGCCGGCTACAGCAGCCAAGCACCCATCACAATCTCCATACCGAGCATTGAGCAAAAGAACAAGCAAATGCAACAGGAGACGCTGATGGAGAGGCTACGCGCCAAGTACCGCAACAAGCCAAAGAGCTACGAGGAAATCAAGAAATCGGTGCGCATGTATTTCATAGAGAAGCATTATCCGCTGGACCCACTCTGCAAGGCAGCGCTGCAGTCGGCATTGGATAAACTGCAGCACTACATCAAAGTCACGTCCCGGCACGGTCTTGTGGAGCGGTTGGAGAGTCTGTCCCGCCAGCTGGGCCTCAAATTCATGGAGGATCAGCAAACGCTATTCATTTCCACAGACATGTTCTACGTGGAGATCCTGCTGGACGCCAGTGGTAACCTCAGCGATGTCAAGGTGCACCATGAGTGCAAAATTGAGCAGCAGTCGAGTTCCAGTGCCAGCTCCACCGAGTTGCTGAATTGCTTGAGGGCAGGCGACTTCGCTGACTTCACAGTACAACTCGAAGGTCTCTCCTCCATTTACCAGCTGAACGCTGAGCCCAAAGTCAAGAAGAAGGCCTTCGTGGCGCTGCAGGCCATGGAAACGGACATATTCAGCCTCTATCAGCACCAGCTGCAGCTGCAGCAACAGCTCAGCAGCAGCACTGATAGCTACCACATCATGAACAACTCCTCGGTGGGCTTGGTCCTGCAGCGACGAGGTGGGCACCCGGTGAAGCTGACCTACTTCTGTCCGCCCCTCCACCTCATCGAGAAGAAGGTGAAGGGCGAGAAAGTGGCCACTAGCAGCGGAACCGCGAGCAGAGACCTGAGCATTGAGCAGGTCATAAAAAGCCCCAACGGACTCAGCGTCACGCTGAATCTTGAGGCCTCCTCTGCGAACAAGCTGCAAATTCTGCCGATTGTCAGCATCACTAACGAGGCTGGATTGCCTCTGGAGCAACCCGTCTATGCGCCGCTCACGCAGAACAACTCAATGCTGATGCCGGCCACCTATGTCCTGCGCCTCAGTAAGCCGATGCCCGTCTGCATTGAGTCTCTACGGGCTCTGGGCCTGCCGGGCCTCACAAGCAATGCAAACGAGGAAACGCCGACAGTAATGAATCTAATTGTGCAAACGGCCTCCAGGCAGTTGATCAGGAACACCCAGAAGGGCTTGTATGTGAATCTGCCCAAGGAGACGCACTGCTACTTCTTTACGGACAACCACAGACTGAAAGGCACCATGATCTCGTCCCTACCATTCACGGAGCCTGCGCAGGTACCTAAGATAATCGCGTTCCTCAAGAAGCAGGCGCTCTTCTACACGCTCCTCTCCAGCTGCATCAGGGAGCAACAGAAGCAGTACAATGGTGGGTAGAACCTCTGGGAAATTGCATAGTAACAATCTAATATCCGAGTGCATTTGTTACAGACATGGACAGCACCGTCATCTTGGAGGTAACCGCTGTCTCGCTCAGTCTGATCACAGTGGAACTGCAGCATCCGTACGAGGAGTCGCTGGCCACAGTTGACTTTCTATTGGAGGACGGCCAGGTGACCTGCACCATTTACTCCGTCAACGACGAATACGAAGCGCTCTCCGAGAAGCTTACCAGAACAGTGCGGCAGGTGCTCTCAATTCCGATGGTTATATACAAGCTGCTTAAGTGCTGGGATGAGGAGCACCAGAAGAAGATGCACGGCAACTTGGCCCCAGGCGCTGGCACAGGGAGCGGCGCATCGGGCGGCTTTAGCGGCACAGGAGGTGGAGTTGGCGGGGGCAGTGGCGGGATGCATGGAGCAAGCAACTTTGGACAGTTCGCCATCGATGCAGCTGGAGAGGGCGGCAGTGGAACTGGCGGCGGATTCAGTAGTCTTGCCAATCTCAAAATGGACTCAAAGGTGCGATCCCTGGCAGATGCATTCGCTGCATCTACTTCGGCTGCTGCGGCTATTGCTGGCCTCATTAGTTTGAAGCGAGAAACTGATCCGCAGTCAAGTGGAGGAAGCAGTCCTGTCCCCCCTTCCAGCTCTGGGCTGGATTCCAAGGCCACCGAGCACGAGATCGCCGACAAGTACAAAAATATCTGGAAAGACAAAACGCCCAACCTGAAGCATTGCGTTAGCATCACGCCCATTGCTGGCGATGGCAAATCTCCACTACAGCAGCAGCAGCAGCAACAGCAGCAACAGGTGGACGTGCAGCGCACGGGCGGCATCGAGATCATACCACTGAATGCGGCAGCCAGCGTGGGCGCCACGCCGAGCACGGGGTCTGCAGCTACAACAATCACCATCACACCTATCACTGGAGGTGCCAAAGAGGCGGGGAAAGAGGCGAAGAAGCCAATCCCCACTGGAGGTGCTACCAAGCGACCCCACGAGGGCACCTCCTCTTCGAGCTCGAGCAGCGGCACCGGCAGCAGCGCCTCCAGCGACGCACAGAAGGAAAAGAAGCGCAAGAAGAAGCGGGACGACTCGCCCATGGGGCCTCCAGAGAAGGTATATTCGCGCCAGAACTCGCCAGCCTCTGGCGGGATGACGGAAGCCTCAGCAGGGGGTGGAGTTGCGCGCAAGTTCTCGTCGCCCTCAACTTCGTCTTCATCCTCGCCCAAGGGAGGCAGTGCCTCGGCTGCAGCTGCCCTGGGCCTCATGGCCGGCCAGCCGTCGGCCCGGCCCAGCCCGAAGCATTCCCCGGTGTACAGCAGCCCAAAGCACAACAGCAGCAGTAACACGGCCTCGAACAGCCCCAAGTCGCCGTTCGGGACGCTCTCGCCCAAGCACGGATCCTCTGGCAAGCCGAGCATGTCCACTCTCAAGAGTGCAACAGCGGCCACCGGTCTGAGCCTCAGTCCCAAGGGTGAAAAGTCCATCACGGGAGCTGGAGGCGGTTCGAGCATTCCCTTGTCCACTGCTGGCTCTGGCTCTGGCTCTGGGTTAGGGTCAAGTGGAAATCCCTCTATGCTGCGGCCCGTGCCACCGCTGGCCAGCAGCAGCCAGTTGCCCGCTGCTATAAAAAAGGACAAGTCCATCGCCAGCAGCTCAGCATCTACTGCCCCATCGGGGGTGGCAGCTGCAGTAGCCGCACTCAAGAGCTCCCAGCAGCAGCAACAACAACAACAACAACAGCAGCAGCAGCAACTGAAGTCACCTGTGGCCAGTTTATCGCATCTGGCTGCAGGAGGGAATCTGAGCAGCTATGGGGCTCCTGCCGTGGCCGCCTTGGAGCTGAATGCACTGCGCAAGGGAATGGCGGGAGCGGGAGTGGGATCGGGATTGGGCGCAGCTGCGGGAGCGGTAGGTGCGGTAAGTCCGTTTTCAATTTATGAGTAGCTCTCGTTGTGTGCCCACCTCCGCTTCCAACTCAACCCCCACCCCACCTGCACCTCTAACCCCTAGTTGATTATCTGTTTCTATTTTTGCATACAACTAAAACTCTGATCGAATGCAAAATATAAAAGGAATACTTATAGTCTTATATTACTCTTATTATTATGATTAATGCGCTGTCACTGCTGTAGTTTTTGTTCCTTATTTTTTATCTGATCTACTGTATGTTATGTTTGTAAATATATTTACTTTTATTACCTATTTTCTAACTGCATCCGTGTTATTTGATCTTATTAATCCCCGTGATGGGCTCTATGCTTCAGTAGTCCTAAAGAAAATCCTCCTTTATGTAGTCTCCTTGCACGTTCTCTTCGATTTCGACTACATTATTATTCCCATTTCAAGAGATTACTTAGTGTTAATATCAATGTGGTTTAAGAGAACTCTATCTGGTATTCTTGCGAGTACTCCTTATATACCTCTGGCAAACTTTATACTAACGAGTTACTTTCTCTTTCGGTCTTCCTGCACATTCGCTGTGGTCCTGGCTTGACTCGGGACCTTAACCCTCAATCGACACTGTGCTACTTTTTGATTGCTTTAATTTGCGTTCTCGGTTCGTTTTTCATTTGTTTGTCTTCACACACACACACAAAAAACACAAACACCCACACACGCACACAACCACGCGCTTCCTTTGTCAGGTTAGTTTGATGACGTCGACGGCAGCTTCGACGGCAACCATCCAAACCACAACAACAGCAGCGGATTCCTTGGGCACCGCAACAGCAGTGGTGGAGGCGGGACCAGCAGTGGGAGCAGCACATGCAACAGCAACAGCAACAGCAGCACAGCAGCCGCTGCCGCAGCGGGCAGCGCCACATAGCACCGACAGCTCCAGTTGTACTAGCAGCAGCTCCAGTGCGGGAGTAGTCTCTGGTCTCTCCACGGGGTACATGGTGAAGCCGAGCAGCCAGGAGGGCCTCAAACTGACCATCAATAAAACGAGCAGCGGAAAGAGAGAAAGCAAGGGCGGACAGCCTGGATCATCTGCGTCCGCGTCTGCGTCCGCATCCGCATCTGCGTCCTCGTCCTCGTCGTCTTCAGCAGGCAGCAAGAAGCAGCACACGGGCCTAAAGCCAGGCGTCAACAGCGGACCAGCCTCGAAGAAGGCACTTTCATCAGCTTCGAGCACAGGGGCAAGCGGTTCTGGCTCGAGCAAACACCTCTTCCAAAAGGCCAACTCCTCTGGAAACCTGAGCAGCAAACTTGGCGGATCTGCATCGCTAGGCGGTGGCCTGCCACTAACGAAGAGCAATAGCACCAACTCTTTCCAGGAACACAGTGTGCCTAAGCGCCGGCCCAGTATGTGCAGTCCGGGGACTAGTGGTGGCAGTGGAGGTGGCTCGCAGCGGAAGTCATCATCAGGATTAGGGCCGGGAGGGGGAGCGGGAAGAATGTCACCAGCGGCATTGAGCGGGTCAATGTCACAGCCACCACCACGCTTCGATCACCACACAGACATGATGACCATTCTGCAGTACGCCTCGCCCTCCATGGCAGCCAGCATGGAGGGCTTCATCAAGGGACTGCACAACAAGTTTCAGATACCCAAATTGTCCCAGCGGCCAAGCGGCAACAATGGGGGAAGTGGGCAGACTTCCAGCACCACAGATCCGGCGTTAGCAACAGGCACATCAGCTTCATCTTCCTCTTCCGCCTCCTCGTTGGAACAGCAGCAGCAGCAGCTGAACGCGGACTTAAATGCTCTGGCGTCCAGCATTACCTCCACGTCCTCGTCCACGTCCAATAGCAGTAGTGGAGGGCAGAAGCCATCGACAGGTCCCTCTGCAGCGAGCGATTTGCTGCTTACTCTAGGAAGCAGTGGCACAATGGGATCAGGTGATGGCATCGACGAGGAGCTGCTCGCCAGCTTGGCCGGCGAATGACAGCTCGCGCTGATTCAACCACTCTCTGCAATCCAATCTTAGTTCAATTAATGTGTTAAAGGCCTTCGGCTGTACTCTGACAATGAGCTGTTCGTTCATAGTCTTAAGTGTTTGTTAAGTGTGGATGGGCGTATCAAGTGACTGCCGTAACTCAATAAAATGCTGCATTATTTAATATAGCTTTGCATACTTTATCTATATAGATACCTCTTAGTGATAATAGTCGTCAAAATAAAGGTTCGTGTATGCTCTCGACTGGGCTCGAGGGAATGTGTAAACAAATGCCGGGGTTATCTGATGCGGTTTCCGAATCAACGCTGGAGGCCTGTGGTTTTGATCACGTCAGGCACATGCGAAGTAAATAGGAATTGCATCGGGGTCTGCGGGTCAAAGAACTGCAGCGATAACCCCAACTCGTGGGGAGGTGCAGGGCGTGTGATCAATGAAACAGATACGTCATAAAAGTATATGCGAATGTATTTGTGCTTTGAGCTTAAAGGCCTAATAAATGATGCAATAGTTGCTTATGCTTGTATTAGATATTGAGCTGGACATCCTGGACGCTCTTCAGGGCGTCACTGTAGCGGGCCAGCACGGGCTGGACCTCCTCGGCAATGAATTCGTCCACCTGCTCGCTGGCACGACCCGTGAAGGTGCGCGCGTCCAGTATGTGGTCCAGCTGATCGAGAATGGGTGCAAAGTAGGCATCGTTGCGCACGCGGCTTATCAGATCATTGTCCTTGCCATACTGCTTAACCTGAGCAGCGGCCTCTTGGGACAGAACTCGGATCTTCTCGTGGCACACTTGGCGGTCTCCGCCGGCTTTCACCATTGCCATGATAATGTTCTCCGTGGACATAAAGGGCAGCTCCTGGGCAATGTGTCGCTCTATGACCTTCGGATAGACCACCAGGCCTTGGGAGATATTCAGCAGCGTGAGCAGAGCTGCATCAGCAGCCAAGAAGCCCTCCGACAAGGTCAGTCGCCTATTGGCCGAGTCATCCAGAGTGCGCTCCAGCCACTGCGTGGCGTGCGTATTTGCGGCATTGCTGAACAATGTGATCAGATGACGAGCCAGGGCGCAGCAGCGCTCCGAGCGCATCGGGTTGCGTTTATAGGGCATCGCCGATGAGCCAATCTGGGTGCTCTCGAATGGCTCCTCCAACTCCTTGCGTGAGGCAAGAATGCGCAGGTCAGAGCACATCTTATGAATAGTAGTGCCCAGGCTGGCCAGAGCAGCCATCACCTCGACGTCCACTTTGCGGGAATACGTTTGCCCGGTGACGGCGTACGGCTTACTGAAGCCCGCCAGCTGGGTGACCAGCTTGTCCAGTTGCTTCACCTTCTGGCTGTCCCCGTTGAAGAGCTCGAGGAATGAAGCCTGCGTGCCCGTGGTGCCCTTTACACCGCGAAAGCGAAGATCCTCAAGACAGCGACGCAGCGCGCGCTCGTCCATGAGCAGGTCCTGGATCCACAGGCAGGCGCGTTTGCCAACTGTAGTCAACTGAGCCGGCTGCAGATGCGTGAATCCCAGGGTCGGCAGAGCCTTGTATGTCTCTGCGAATTGCTGCAGGCGTCCCACAACGGTAGCCACGCGCGGCAGCAGCAGTTTCAGTGCATCGCGCAGTACAATGAGATCCGTGTTGTCGCCTACGTAGCAGGAGGTGGCACCCAGGTGGATGACCGGTGCAGCAACCGGGCATTGCTTGGCAAAAACGTGTACGTGCGCCATGACATCATGCCTGGTGAGACGCTCCTCGGCGGCTGCCGCCTCGAAGTCTATGTCCTTTATGTGTTGCTCCATCTGAGCTATCTGCTCTTCGGTAATGTCTAGGCCAAGTGAATGCTCCGCCTTGGCTAGCCAAACCCACAGTTGTCGCCAGGTCGAGAACTTGTTCTGGTCACTGAACAGAAGCTGCATCTCCTTGCTGGCATATCGTGTGCTCAGAGGAGACTTGTATCCTTCGTAACTAGCAGACATTTTTCTCAATACTTCTCTGACAATTCAGCGGACCAACCACAACACCACCTCTCAAATAAAGATTTCCTACTAACCAGAAAAAAATACCACATGTTGCGCATTCCGGTATCAGTGTTACCAGAGCAATGAACTCGTCAAATCTACATATATACGATTAATCAGTCGTTTATGCAACAATCGTATTTAGTATATTCATTCTTCACATGGCGCTCGATTTAAAAACTCATTTTTCCTTATGAACCATTCTAATTAAAGAGAAAGACGCAATTACAACTATGTAAGTATGTAAGTACATAATCTCATTCCAAAATGTTTATATGTTTATGTTGGCCAAGACAAACAATTTAATGCGGATAAATTAGTTAAATATTTAATTCTTATTCTATTTGACATTTTAAAATCAACAGCTCATTGTCAGAGTACAGCCGAAGGCCTTTAACACATTAATTGAACTAAGATTGGATTGCAGAGAGTGGTTGAATCAGCGCGAGCTGTCATTCGCCGGCCAAGCTGGCGAGCAGCTCCTCGTCGATGCCATCACCTGATCCCATTGTGCCACTGCTTCCTAGAGTAAGCAGCAAATCGCTCGCTGCAGAGGGACCTGTCGATGGCTTCTGCCCTCCACTACTGCTATTGGACGTGGACGAGGACGTGGAGGTAATGCTGGACGCCAGAGCATTTAAGTCCGCGTTCAGCTGCTGCTGCTGCTGTTCCAACGAGGAGGCGGAAGAGGAAGATGAAGCTGATGTGCCTGTTGCTAACGCCGGATCTGTGGTGCTGGAAGTCTGCCCACTTCCCCCATTGTTGCCGCTTGGCCGCTGGGACAATTTGGGTATCTGAAACTTGTTGTGCAGTCCCTTGATGAAGCCCTCCATGCTGGCTGCCATGGAGGGCGAGGCGTACTGCAGAATGGTCATCATGTCTGTGTGGTGATCGAAGCGTGGTGGTGGCTGTGACATTGACCCGCTCAATGCCGCTGGTGACATTCTTCCCGCTCCCCCTCCCGGCCCTAATCCTGATGATGACTTCCGCTGCGAGCCACCTCCACTGCCACCACTAGTCCCCGGACTGCACATACTGGGCCGGCGCTTAGGCACACTGTGTTCCTGGAAAGAGTTGGTGCTATTGCTCTTCGTTAGTGGCAGGCCACCGCCTAGCGATGCAGATCCGCCAAGTTTGCTGCTCAGGTTTCCAGAGGAGTTGGCCTTTTGGAAGAGGTGTTTGCTCGAGCCAGAACCGCTTGCCCCTGTGCTCGAAGCTGATGAAAGTGCCTTCTTCGAGGCTGGTCCGCTGTTGACGCCTGGCTTTAGGCCCGTGTGCTGCTTCTTGCTGCCTGCTGAAGACGACGAGGACGAGGACGCAGATGCGGATGCGGACGCAGACGCGGACGCAGATGATCCAGGCTGTCCGCCCTTGCTTTCTCTCTTTCCGCTGCTCGTTTTATTGATGGTCAGTTTGAGGCCCTCCTGGCTGCTCGGCTTCACCATGTACCCCGTGGAGAGACCAGAGACTACTCCCGCACTGGAGCTGCTGCTAGTACAACTGGAGCTGTCGGTGCTATGTGGCGCTGCCCGCTGCGGCAGCGGCTGCTGTGCTGCTGTTGCTGTTGCTGTTGCATGTGCTGCTCCCACTGCTGGTCCCGCCTCCACCACTGCTGTTGCGGTGCCCAAGGAATCCGCTGCTGTTGTTGTGGTTTGGATGGTTGCCGTCGAAGCTGCCGTCGACGTCATCAAACTAACCTGACAAAGGAAGCGCGTGGTTGTGTGCGTGTGTGGGTGTTTGTGTTTTTGTGTGTGTGTGTGAAGACAAACAAATGAAAAACGAACCGAGAACGCAAATTAAAGCAATCAAAAAGTAGCACAGTGTCGATTGAGGGTTAAGGTCCCGAGTCAAGCCAGGACCACAGCGAATGTGCAGGAAGACCGAAAGAGAAAGTAACTCGTTAGTATAAAGTTTGCCAGAGGTATATAAGGAGTACTCGCAAGAATACCAGATAGAGTTCTCTTAAACCACATTGATATTAACACTAAGTAATCTCTTGAAATGGGAATAATAATGTAGTCGAAATCGAAGAGAACGTGCAAGGAGACTACATAAAGGAGGATTTTCTTTAGGACTACTGAAGCATAGAGCCCATCACGGGGATTAATAAGATCAAATAACACGGATGCAGTTAGAAAATAGGTAATAAAAGTAAATATATTTACAAACATAACATACAGTAGATCAGATAAAAAATAAGGAACAAAAACTACAGCAGTGACAGCGCATTAATCATAATAATAAGAGTAATATAAGACTATAAGTATTCCTTTTATATTTTGCATTCGATCAGAGTTTTAGTTGTATGCAAAAATAGAGACAGATAATCAACTAGGGGTTAGAGGTGCAGGTGGGGTGGGGGTTGAGTTGGAAGCGGAGGTGGGCACACAACGAGAGCTACTCATAAATTGAAAACGGACTTACCGCTCCTACCGCTCCCGCAGCTGCGCCCAATCCCGATCCCACTCCCGCTCCCGCCATTCCCTTGCGCAGTGCATTCAGCTCCAAGGCGGCCACGGCAGGAGCCCCATAGCTGCTCAGATTCCCTCCTGCAGCCAGATGCGATAAACTGGCCACAGGTGACTTCAGTTGCTGCTGCTGCTGTTGTTGTTGTTGTTGTTGCTGCTGCTGGGAGCTCTTGAGTGCGGCTACTGCAGCTGCCACCCCGGATGGGGCAGCAGATGCTGAGCTGCTGGCGATGGACTTGTCCTTTTTTATAGCAGCGGGCAACTGGCTGCTGCTGGCCAGCGGTGGCACGGGCCGCAGCATAGAGGGATTTCCACTTGACCCTAACCCAGAGCCAGAGCCAGCAGTGGACAAGGGAATGCTCGAACCGCCTCCAGCTCCCGTGATGGACTTTTCACCCTTGGGACTGAGGCTCAGACCGGTGGCCGCTGTTGCACTCTTGAGAGTGGACATGCTCGGCTTGCCAGAGGATCCGTGCTTGGGCGAGAGCGTCCCGAACGGCGACTTGGGGCTATTCGAGGCCGTATTACTGCTGCTGTTGTGCTTTGGGCTGCTGTACACCGGGGAATGCTTGGGGCTGGGCCGAGCCGACGGCTGGCCGGCCATGAGGCCCAGGGCAGCTGCAGCCGAGGCACTGCCTCCCTTGGGCGAGGATGAAGAGGAAGTTGAGGGCGACGAGAACTTGC